AATAAACTCTAAAAGAGTATCCACTTCAATAGCAAAATCTCTATTATTTTTCAATTTTGGGGCCATCGTTGAAGCCTGTCTGGTAATACTAAGCAGGAAAGGGGGAAAAAAAAATCACATTGTATTTGGGTGATATATCTGTAGTGTTAACCAGATCAGGAGCAAAGGACTATGAATTTATTCATAGGATATTTGGGAAAGACCATTGAAAAAGTTTGCTGGAGGCAGGGGGCAAAGTTTGGGATAACTTTTAACATACCATAGCAAGATTTGAAAGGCAGGCTTGAGACATAAGAGACTGCTCATTTATTTTCTTGTCAAAATAAGAGAAGTAAATGAATATTATGAAATTCCCTGTAGATAAAGAAAACGGCAGGAAAATGACTCAGGGTAAAAAGACACATCTCTTTCAAGTAAAATATTCTGCAAAATAAATTTCACAGGCTGCACAACCTAAAATTTCTAGATTTGTGATGAAATCTAATCTTTTTAAAATATGAGGATAGCACTTGGCCTGCCTAAAACACAAGGTGTTTGTGAACATCAGATCAGAAATGCTTCCTTCAAGATTTTCTTATTTCCTTAACAGTATGATTCAGCAAGTTTGCTCCCTCAACAGATACTGAGTGCCCCTAATATGACAGACACTCTTAACTGCTTGAAACACATCAGTGAACAAAGCAGACAAAAACCTCAGTTTCATGGAGCTTATATTCTATTTGGAGAAACCAGATGATTTTTAAAAATGCATAATAAATAAGTAAATTAGATTGGTGATAAAATATACATGATAAGAGAAAAGAAACAGAACAGTGCAAGGGAAAGATGTATCACCCTATGAATGTCTTAGGGAAAGACATTTTTTAAAAATTAAAGCAAAAAGATATGCTACTCAGGAGGCTGAAGTGGGAGGATCTCTTGAACCCAGGAATTAGAGTCCAGCCTGGGCCATAAAGCAAGATTCTGTCTGTCTTAAAAAATTTTTGTAAAAACTAAAAATCAAAAGAGATATATTAAGAGAACATTTTTAAAAATTTATTTATCATACTTTAAGTTCTGGGGTATGTGTGCAGAACATGCAGGTTTGTTACATAGGTATACACATGCCATGGTGGTTTGCTGCATCCATCACCCCGTCATCTACATTAGGTATTTCTCCTAATGCTATCCCTCCCCAATCCCCCCACCCCCTGCTATACCTCCCCTAGCCCCGTAACCCTGACAGGTCCCAGTGTGTGATGTTCCCTTCCCTGTGTCCATGTATTTAACAGAACATTTATCCACCAAAACAATGAGACAAGCAGTTAGAAAGCACCCTAAGCAAGAGTTGTTGGTATTGCAACTTAACAGATTAGGGAAGAAAGCCAGTTCTGTCAAAGTGATGAAAGGCGTTATATTCAACACATTTTTTTGTCAACACATAGTGTCTAAAATGTATACATAAAAATACCGTGTCCATTAGTGGCCATTTTAAAACTGTAATGACTCAGAAAATTCAAAAAGAACAAAATCTGGCTGGGCGCAGTGGCTCACACATGGAATCCCAACACTCTGGGAGGCTGAGGCAGGCGGATCACTTGAGGTCAGGCGTTCCAGACCAGCCTGGTCAACATGGTGAAGCACCATCTCTACTAAAAATACAAAAATTAGCTGGGCATGGTGCGTGCCTATAGTCCTAGCTGCTTGGGAGGCTGAGGCAGGAAAATGGCTTGAACTTGGGGGTTGGAGGTTGCAGTGAGCCAAGATCATGCCACTGCACTCCAGCCTGGGTGACAAAGTGAGATGTCTCAAAAATAAACAAATAAATATGTGTTTTAAAAAAGAAGCAAAATCTTACCATGAAGTAAATTTATCCATCTAGTTTATTACTTCTTTCTGAAGATTTTCAGAACATTCTCTCTTGAGAATGATGCTGCACCAAGAGTAGAGATATTTAATACGTTATAATGAGTTATTGTGTAAAATATTATTTTGTAAAATATATGTAAAAGTACTTGGCATAGTACTGGCATATGTAAATGTATTTGTTAAAATGTTTTAAAAATTGTTTAAATGGTCTTAAGGCTATATTTTAAATCTTGTTGGGGATTACTGATTAAATACTTATGAATAAGGAAAAAAGCATTCATTTTTGAGAACTAGATTAGCACTTTGAGGAAATTAATTGCAATTACCCTTGGTGTGCTGGTCTTTATAATATAGACTTAAATCTGTGAACATATGCTCATATTATGTCAGCTTATCCCATGGTTCTTTATCCTTTGCTTTCTTCAATTTCATTCTTCATTATACCACCATTTCCACCAAAAAGTGTGAAATCAAAGGGGAAATGAAAGCTGATAAACAGAGTTTATGTCAGTTCGGCTCTTAAAGTGAGGAAGTCAAACAGCTAGATAAAATTAGGTTTGAGGTGTTTTCATCTGTGGTTTTCCTTTTTTTTTTTTTGAGACGGAGTTTTGCTCTGTTGCCCAGGCTGGAGTGCAGTGGGGCAATCTCAGCTCACTGCACCTTCCATCTCCTGGGCTCAAGCAGTTCTCCTGCTTCAGCCTCCAGAGTAGCTGGGATTACAGGCGCATGCCACCACCATGCCTGCCTTTTTTTTTTTTTTCTTTTGTTTTGAGAAGGAGTCTCCCTCTGTCCCCCAGGCTGGAGTGTAGTGGCATAATCTTGGCTCACTGCAACCTTCACCTCCAGGGTTCAGGTGATTCTCCTGTCTCAGCCTCCACAGTAGCTGGGATGACAGGTGCGTGCTGCCATGCCTGACTAATTTTTGCTAATTTTTGTTTTTTCAGTAGAGACAGGGTTTCACAATTTTGGCTAGGCTGGTCTTGAACTCTCAACCTCAAGTGATCCACCCACCTCCACCTCCCAAAGTACTGGGATTACACCATGCCCAGCCCCAGCTAAATTTTTTGTATTTTTAGTAGAGATGGGGTTTCACCATATTGGCCAGGGTGGTCTCGGACTCCTGGCCTCAAGTGATCTGCCTGTCTCATCCTCTCAAAGTGCTGGGATTACAGGCATGAGCCATTGCACCCAGGCTCATCTGTGCTAATTCTATCCTATATAGCCACAAATCATTGGGATTACACTTGTGTGACTCACTGCAATTTCTAGTTTCAGGAACTATTGATATACTGATATGAGAATATTTTATTTAAAAATCAATAGTTATCATCACCATTTCTTCTCTTGAAAAGTGCTTTTGCAAGCAGATAAGAAGGAATACTAGGTGATCATTCAAACCTTGACAATTATTTCTCTTTACAAATGGAAATACAAGGAATGTCCTCCCAAAGATAGACTTGGAATCAATGTTTATGTTCCCATTGCATCTTGTTTACCTCCCTATTTTAGTTAATTCCTGTATTTTATTTAGTTGTTTGCCAGTGACTCGTCCCCCCAACTGGAAACTCATTGAAGAAAGAGTTGTCTTTCATTTTTGTAGCCCCAGCTTCATAGCACAGGTGAAAGAATAAATAAAGAAATAAAAGATCACTGGGATTTACATGAGGGTTAGCCAAGTCTCTCTCTTAAACACTTTAAGTTCAACAAAAGCAGGTTCAAAAGTCTCTTATTTGGGAGTAAGCTAGCTCCCTTAATTGCAAGAAGCTCTGAATCAAAATATATCCACTACTCCATTTTGTGTCTCCATCATCTACATGTAATATAAGTGCATCAAACCATTATATTAACTACTATATCCTATCTGCCTTTTAAATAAATGGAAAAGTTAAAAAACGCTGCTATAAAATAGGTTATCTTGCTAGTAGTACATACCCAATGCAAACTCATTAAAACTCTCAAACAGTGTAAAGTAGCTCCCCTTTTTTGGTAAAGTTAGATTAAATCGCTTACACTGTGTAATTGTGATCATTGAATATTCCTACTAATGATTATTCAGAGACTCAGATACATTCTTGATGAAAAATGATCAAACAAGGTGCTTTATTTTTAACTTAGGACTTCAAAGGGTTTATTATTTTGAAATCAAATCTATTAAACCTCATGAGTATATTATTCCTCATTAAGATTCCTTTTGAATTCATTTGACATGTTAAAGACAGGGTATTAGTAAATAATTTATAAGTAAAAATTATTTATAATATTAGCTTAGAAATTAAAGTGAATAGAGCATAAGAAAAATGAAAAAAAAAGACAAGTAACTAATAAGGTAAAACTAGACAGGAATTTCACAAGGTTAATTGTAGTACTTCTAGAACATTCTTAGCTTATCATAAATAATTTTACTAGCTATTTTATTTCGTATTAGTTGTCAATTTAACTCACTTCGTAGGCCAACTAGTATTGTGATTAAGAACTTTTTAAAAAGCAAGACAATTATGTTCAAGTTTCCTTCATTTAATCAATATGGGACTATAGTAAATGAGGCTGTAAAAAGATGTTCCTGGTGATCCATAAACCATTATAAAAATATAAAGCATTATTATTACACAACTGTATGTGTATAATTTTGCCTAGTAATCAGCTTTTTGTTTATGACAGCTCTGTGCAAAATTCCTTCTGCTGCTAAATAACGTAAAAGAAGACAGTGGTTTTTTAACATTTTTGTTTGTTGGCCCCAAGTAGCGTTCCTTTGAAACAAAATCCCCCAATAAATCCATCTGAGTGTGGTGGTATATGTCTGTAGTCCCAGCTACTTGGGGACTGAGGCAGGAGGATTGCTTGAGCCCAGAAGTTTGAGGTCAGCCTGGGCAACACAGTGACACCCTGTATCTTAAAAAAATCCATCAACCCAGAAAGAGTTTGGAGTAATATCTATGCTGTTATTGGACCAGGAGAACAGAAACAGCTATTTTAAGTTCAGGAAGGCAGTAAAGGTAGTATTGGGGGCTGATGTAACCAGTTTTGAAAGCAAGAGAACAAACATTATTATAAATGATGGTTGATAATTGACAAGATGAAGAACTGACACATTACTATTAAGCCAAGGAAGTTTGGCTAAGATGGATTTTATAAGAGCTCTTTCTTCTACCCACCAATAGAAGGGGCTCCCATCTGTCCTCCACTAAGAATTTATCTGTGCTTCAGCTGGGCGTGGTGGCTCACACCTGTAATTCCAGCACTTTCAGAGGCTGAGGTGGGCAGATAACAAGGTCAGGAGTTTGAGACCAGCCTCGCCAACATGGTGAAACCCCATCTCTACTAAAAAAAAAATACAAAAAAAAAGTGGGGCTGGGCAGGATGGTATGCGTCTGCAATCCCAGCTACTTGGGAGAATTGCTTGAACCAGGGAGGCAGAGGTTGCAGTGAGCCAGAATTGTGCTACTGCACTCCTCCCTGGGCGACAGAGCAAGACTCTGTCTCAAACAAACAAAAATGTCTCTGTACTTCATCTATCTTCTTTCTGCTCCCTAAAGAACTATGTGTCTGCCCCAAAATAGAAACCTTTAACATGTTCCTGTAGTAACCAGTTCTCATAAAATACTAACCAATAGTTAATTAAGTCATTTTGGGGATGATTACCTGGCTTTCATTAGATCCAATCTTATTGTTTAGAGGTACTATGTACAGACAGATAGATAGAGGACAGAGAGAGACAGACAGATAGAACCTACCCTGGATAACTATTGCATGAGCTTACTCTCAGCTCACAGTATCTTAAAAATAGGTTATCTTTATTCTAACTATTCTCTTTATAACACATTTTTCACCCAGTGAAATCAGCATTAACAATATGTGCTATGATTGCTTCATCTAAGTAACATAATGCCAGAAAGCCAACTTGTAGTCATAGTGTTTATTTAGCAAAAATATTTTTAACTGGCTACTTGGCATCGTGTATATGCAATATCAAATAATCACTGAAATGTCATCAAATATAATTAGCAAAAATATTTTTATCTGGCGATTTAGCATTACATACATACAACAATAAATATTCATTGCAGCAAGTCATCAAATATGAGTTTTTATCTTATTTTAATCAAATTCATATAAAGACTAGTTAATGATAGAATACAGCCTTTTCAGCTTTTCTTCTTATTAAATGTTAGGGAGCACAATTACCATCCGAACAATCATATTAATAAATTTTCAAATATTTTGCTAACACGTAAAAATAGTTTAAATTTATACCTATTTATTTTCCTAATCTAAGTTTTAGCAGTTATTCACAAAGTTAATTTTGTTCCATTTTTCTCCAGTTTCAAATACATACACACAAATCTGTTTAAATTTCACTTTTTCACTCACCTTATTTTAATGGCATTTTCAAAATGTATAAATGCTTTTTCTTGTCAAAAGATGACAGTAAGTTATTTGCGTGAAATAGTTGTAGTAGAGGGAATTCTAGCATTTTAAACACAATAAATATCACTTTCTTTATTAAAGAATTCCAGAATGTAAAAGCATACTTAAAGTTGTTTTGAAGAAACTATTTCAAAGAGCAGTCATGTGATGAGATTATTGTAATCTCAATGTCTGAAATCTAGACTACAGATTTTAAATATTTTCATTTTTAGGTATGCTACTATAATTACGTACTATGAATTAGGTTGCTGTCCTATATAACAGCCAACTAAAATTGCAATCTTGTTTTATTTTATTAGTTTTTCAGATCTAGAACTTCAGCCAATGCAGCATGTATCCAAAAAGAAGATCTTTTCCGTATCCACGAGCTGACACTAACTTTTTTAAATTAAGAAAGGAAAGCTAGATTACAATTACATACTCACCTTTCAGTGTCTTGAAATATTCCGGCAAAATTAAAATGAATGTGATCACTACTGCCACAAATAATTTAAGGAGAGCTGTTTTTGTCATGTTTCTTCACATGACACAAATGTGTTCCCTTCCAGTACATTCATGGTATGTTGCTTCCTGCTTTAAGTTTCATCTCGACAGTACTTTAGGTTAATGCAATTCACCTCATACTCACTTCCTTTTGAGTAAGACTCAAAAAAAAAAAAAAAAGAGGTCTTAAACTGAGAGACTTCACTTTTGAGTCACTTTACATTAAAAAAAAAAAACCCTCCAATAAATACTTTCAAACCATTTACTTATCTTTCTAAGCAAGAAAGGTAAATAAATGATCTCAAGAAGCAAAGGGATCTTCCCCCCAGAGAAACTGAAGCTATTTTCCCTTGTTTACCAATTTATGAATATAAACCCACAATATACTCCCAAAAATAAAATGGTGGGCTGAGCGAAGTGGCACACACCTATAATCCCAGCACTTTTGGAGGCCAAGGTGGAAGGATCATTTGAGGCCCGAGTTTGAGTCCAGATTGGTCAACAGAGCAAGATCTCCTCTTTATTATAATTTAAATATAGCTAGGTGTGTTGGTGCACCTCTGTAGTCCCAACTACACAGGAAGCTGAGGATCACTTGAACCCAGGAATTTGAGACTGCAATGAGCCATGACAGGCCACTGCACTCTAGCCTTGGTGACAGAGTGAGACCCCTCCTCAATAAAGAAAGAAATAAAAGGGTGAATGTCAGTGATGTCTAGGTTGTATGGACATCACTCATTCATTTACTTTTTTTTTTTGAGACGGAGTCTGGCTGGCTCTGTTCCCCAGGCTGGAGTGCAGTGGCATGATCTCGGCTCACTGCAATCTCTACCTCTCGGGTTCAACCAATTCTCCATCCTCAGCCTCCTGAGTAGCTGGGATTACAGACATGTGCCATCATCCCCAGGTAATTTTTGTATTTTTAGTAGAGACAGATTTTCACCATGTTGGCCAGGCTGGTCATTTACTTAATAAATGACTATTGATCCCTGTTTAGTGCCAGGTGCTGTGCTGAATTCTGGTGTTCAGTATATCTAGAAGATAATACAGTACAAAAAGGATAAACTGGGGACACATGTAAAATTTTGATTCTACTTTACTGTATTCTAGCAGTCTAATGGAACTCATTAACATTATGACTATAAATACAGTAATTATTGTTACAGAATCCACATTCCCAGTTCCCATGTCAAAAAGAAAGATATCTTCATTATAATAATCCCAGTGAAATAAAATACTTTGTCTTAGAATATAAATGAATGGTAAGGAGAATTTATGGTGTATAAAGCATACATGCAAACAAATATTATTGTTTAGAAAATCCAGATATCCACTGCTCCCATTGTTGTTGTTTTTTGGTTTAAAAAAAAATCAAAACTACATTGAGATACCATCTCACACCAGTTAGAATGGCGATTATTAAAAAATCTGGAGACAACAGATGCTGGAGAGGATGTGGAGAAATAGGAACACTTTTACACTGTTGGTGGGAGTGTAAATTCGTTCAACCATTGTAGAAGACAGTGTGGTGATTCCTCAAGGACCTACAAATAGAAATTCCATTTGACCCAGCAATCCCATTACTGGGTATATATCCAAAGGATAATAAATCATTCTACTATAAGGACACATGCACATGAATGTTCATTGAAGCACAGTTTACAATAGCAAAGACCTGGAACCAACCCAAATGCCCATCGATGATAGACCAGACAGAGAAAATGTGGCACCTATACACCATGGAATATTATGCAGCCATCAAAAACAATGAGTTTGTGTCCTTTGTAGGGACATAGATGAACCTGGAAACCATCATTCTTAGCAAACTGACACAAGAACAGAAAATCAAACACCACATGTTCTCACTCATAGGCGGGTGTTGAACAATGAGAACACATGGATACAGGGAGGGGAGCATCACACACTGGGGTCTGTTGGGGGAAATAGGGGAGGGACAGTGGGAGGTGGGGAGTTGGGGAAAGATAGCCTGGGGAGAAATGCCAGATATAGGTGAAGGGGAGGAAGGCAGCAAATCACACTGCCATGTGTGTACCTATGCAACAATCTTGCATGTTCTTCACATGTACCCTAAAACCTAAAATGCAATTTAAAAAAAATGGTACCACATATATCCAGTCCTTTTCTTTCTGCTCACTCCCTCCTATACCCCTACCACCTACCCATTTACATTTACAGTATCCGATTTCTTGTTATCACTCACCCAAACCTGAGCTCTATGGAACAATGGGTGGGTAGGGAGTAAGAAGTAGGAGGTAAAGGCTGTGCTGTGAATACACTGTGAGCATGAATTAACTCTTTTCTTCTGATTGGACAATTTGATGAACAGATGGGAATCATGGGTTGAGACACATTGGGACCTGAGTCTAAGAACAGTCAAGGCCAGATGCATTGGCTCACACCAGTAATCCCAGCATATTGGGAAGGGAAGGCAGGTGGATCACAAGGTCAGGAGTTCAAAACCAGCCTGGCCAAGATGGTGCAACGCTGACTCTACTAAAAATACAAAAATTAGCTGGGCATGGTGGCATGCACCTGTAATCCCAGCTACTCGGGGGGGTGAGGCAGGAGAATTGCCTGAACCCAGAAGGCGGAGGCTGCAGTCAGCCGAGATCGCACCACTGAACTCCAGCTTGACACCTGGTAACAAATCAAGACTCTATCTCAAAAAAAAAAAAAGAGAGAGAAAAGAGGCCCTCTTCCTTAATTCTTTAATTCTTCTCCATCTTACAGGTTTGAAGAAGTAGTCAGTGAATAATCCACTTCCTTTTTTTTTTTTTTTTTGAGACAGTCTCACTCTGTCACCCAGGTTGGAGTGGTGCCATCTCAGCTCACTGCAACCTCTGCCTCCTGGGTTCAAGCAATTCTCCTGCCTCAGCCTCCAGAGTAGCTGGAATTACATGCTCCTGCCACCATGCCTGGCTAATGTTTGTATTTTTAGTAGAGAGGGGGTTTCACCAGGTTGCCCAGGCTGGTCTCAAACTCCTGAGCTCAGGTGATCCGCCCACCTCGGCCTCCCACAGTGCTGGGACTACAGGTGTGACACTTCCCATTTTGACCCTGTTATGATTCCCCAGATGTTCTGACTCTTATTTTTGAATACAAGCATTCTAGCCATAATTTTAACCAATGGAAATGAAATTTATCATGGAAGTACTGACTTGCTATGACACTGCTAACTCACTTTTATTCTTGATAAATTTTCTAAAAAGGGTAGTTAAGCCACTCCAATTTTTTGCACCTTAATTTTGGTTAATTAGGTTTTAGTTTTTAACTAATTTTCATTAACTATTAATTAATTTTTATTAATTTTGGGGAAATTAATAAATTAGTATGTATTCTTTTCTATGTAAAGTTTGTTAGTATGTATTCTTTTCTATGTAAAGTTTCCAACAACAGTTTGGTTCATTTATTGATTATTTTGTCTATTTCAAAGTTAACTGATTTGGGAGGGGTTTTTTGGTGGTACTATTGTTAGTGGTGGCAGAGATCGGAATCGGAGTTACCCCGAGTTACCAGCAATGAAACCATACATGTCTGCAACAATCTCAATTCTTACCTCCTCAGAAGAAAGAATTCGACTGAGGGGCATGAAGCAGAGGAGAGACAGAGGTAAGTTTCATAGCAGGAGTGAAAGTTTATTAAAAAGATTTACGACAATAAGGAAAGAAAGGAAAAGAAGGAAAGTACAACTTGGAAGAGGGCCAAGTGGGCGATTTGAGAAACCAAGTGCCCAGCTTGACCTCTTCACTTGGAATTTTATATGTTGGCATACTTCTGGGATCTTGTGTTACATCTCCCCACTCCTGAGATCTTATCGGGAAGCTGCTGATCACTTTCAGGTGTTTTCTATCTGTTAGGAGACTGCCTTTCCCTTGTACCAGCTGTGACCAGTTATTACTTCAGAGAAACAACCGCATGACCATCATCTGATGGTCGCCCAACACTCCTGGACTGTGTTGGAGAGGAGCCTTCTATTGCTCTGCACATACCTGACTAGCTACATACTGTAACACTATTTCTTCTAGACCTGCACTGCCCACACACAGCCCCCACCAGTCTGACCTCAGACTCGTTATCCTATTCTTGGACACCTGAAAAGCAAAATTATCCAGCAGTACCATGGGTCCTTTGTTTTCAAAGGGCTGGCTCCTGCTCTGCAACTGGTTTTTCTGGAGATGTTCAGATGCTGAGTGTTGGGAGAGCAGGCCAGGGGCCCAAAGGCCCAGACCATAGCCTGGCTGCTCTGAGGATATAAGAATCAGTGTCTCAAAGTCAGTCTGTAGTTCACTTGCTGCACATCAGTGTTTCATCTCTGACTTAGCAAATAATGAGAAAATTAAGATATGCACCCAGATATTTCAGGAATCTCTATTGTCCATTTTTCTGCATATCAATAACCCAATTTTATGAAAAGTTTTTGTCATTCTACCAACAGTTACTAACTGCTTAAATTGATAGCAGAGCAATAGCCAATGACAAGTTCCAAATATCTTATGGGCCAAATCTTCCAAGATTCAATAGCATAGGTTCAAATTGAAGGTTTGAAATATTTTGCTTTTTTTCCACTGTCGTAATTCACCCACTAAAAATGTTTTATAACTGAAATTGCCAAATATATCAAATACATCATTAAATCTTTGCTTTTTTTTTTTTTTTTTTTTTTTTTTTTTTTGAAGCATACTCTTGCTCTGTCACTCAGACTGGAATGTAGTGGTGTGATCTCGGCTCACTGCAGCCTCAGCCTCTCGAGTTTAAGCGATTCTCCTACCTCAGCCTCCCAAGGAGCTGGGACTACAGGCGCATATGCCTGGCTAATTTTTTGAATTTTTAGTAGAGACGGGTTTTGCACCGTGTTAGCCAGGATGGTCTCCATCTCCTGACCTCGTGATCCGCCCCCCTCTGCCTCCCAAAGTGCTGGGATTATAGGCGTGAGCCACTGTGCCCAGCCAAGTCTTTACATTTTAAACACCAGCAATCAGTAAAATTTAAGAATTAAGCTGCAGTCTTTCATAGGTAATCTAACTTAAAATGATAGTGCCTCAGAAATAAATAAACCAGG